GGACTGTTGTAGCTAACGTTAGCTCTGGTGTCTGTACCTGGACTGTTGTAGCTAACGTTAGCTCTGGTGTCTGTACTGGGACTGAGCGACAGTTGTTGTCTTTGTGTATAATTATTTATTTTTTTCCATTTTCTGGGATTTTTTTGCGGCGACTATTTACAAAGCGGTTCTTTCCTGTTTAGTGTTGGTTTTTAGTTTAATCTTTACTGCACTTCTGATCGTTTGTTTGTTTGTTTATCTTGGTTGCACTTAAATTTGATTATTTTTGCTCCAAACCACAAAAATCACATCTTCCTGTCAATGGATTCATTTTCAATTTATCTTCAACTTCAAATCAAATCAAGCATGTACATACTAAATACTTGGTTTAAAAAAAAGTTTTTGATGAAACTTTTGATGAAAAGTTTGAAATGTTTAATTCTTCTGATAATTAAATTACTATTCATTTCTGATACTCTTACATCTTGGTGTTGGATTTTATGTTCTTAAAGGAAAATTCCTGAAACTCTGATTCACATTTTGTACTAAAATAATTCACATTTTGGGATGTTACTGAGCAAAGGTGAATTTTTTTATTTTTTTTACATGTACTTTTTATGCCTTTCATTTGTTTTGTTCAGCACCACGGTCCATTGCTTCATTGCTCCTCCTCTGGGGCCTCTGTGACATATGAGAAACCTGCCATTTCTCATTTAAAAGTTTCCATACAGCTTCAGTTAAACTTTACATAACAGTTTCTGTGAAAGGGCACCTGGTCTATCTGTGCGCACACAGAGTGGTAGGAGGATGATCATTTAGTAATAAGGCTTGTATCTGCTAACCACCCACCAAATGATTATTCTGTGCCTCCAGGAGCTCCACTTCAGTGCCGTCGTTGAAGAAACGACACATTTAATTCGGTGCTCACGTCTGAGTGGGAGTCCTTATGAAATCCTCCAGTGAAAAGATGAAGAGAAGATTCAATATGACCCTGGAATCAAAGACGTTCAAAGATGTTTTAACTTCAACTGAACGTCGGGCTTTTGTTCAAAACTTATTAAAAACTTATTAATTGGTGACATTTCCCAAGGAATCCAACTTATGAATCAATTGATATTTGAATGAAAAGGTCCTTAAAGGTGTCATTGCTGAGGACATGTTAGAGTCAAACTTTATTTTCTTCAGTCAGTCGTAGACTCACTGACTGTCCTGATCTCAGTCAGGCTGCTCAAACCTAACATTTTCTCTTATGGACACTGTGGGTTTTTTTTTTCATATTCTCTGAGTAACGTCTCTGTTCAGCACATGTCATCTTGTCCATGCACATGATTCATGACATAGGTCTACATTTGGCATTTCCTTCTCCACCTTTGAAAACACTGAGACTATGAGTGATTTGTATGTGTGAAGTAACGTCTAATCTTCTAGCAGAAAATACAGAATTCCAGAGAGAGAGAGCAGCTGGAACTCAAAGTTGGAGTTGTGCTTCCGTGTTGGAGCGTTTCCTCTGAGACCTGCATTAACTCAAGCAACACCGCTACTCTATTTAAATGCTTCAGGAGTCGTCTGCTAAGTGGCAGATGGCAGCCGGCCAGAGAAGATATTCGAACTGTGGAGTTCCAAGCTGAAAGGAGCAGCCACTGCAGGAGATACTGACTGACGCACACCTCAGTCCGCACCTACAGCCTGGCCAGGGTTCCCCTTCATGCTGACTTACAGTATTGTACATTTGGTTTGTTAACCTTCCTTGAAAAGTTTTTTAGTTTTTTTTAATTTGTCTTTAGAAAAAAAAAATTTTAAAGTTAAAAAACATCTTCAGTCTGAGCTCACTTGGACATC